AAAAGTAGTACAACACACTGTAAAAATATTATTGAGAAAGCGCAGGTGGGATTTTTTTAATTTCCATTTATTGTCTAAAAGAAATGCACTACGAAATAACTGTGTACTCGGAAAATTGGGGTCCAAAATTAAACTTTGTTTGATTTCAACAAAAAATGAATATATGGGGTTCTTTGATATGCTGAATCTAACCATGTATTTAGATTTTTTATTTGTGGACCCCGTTATCTAATTGGTTCATATTGAGGTCAAAAGGGTCCAAAATTAAACTTTGTTTGATTTCATCTAAAATTGAATTATTGGGGTTCTTTGATATTCCAAATCTAACCGTGTATTTAGATTTTTAATTTTGGGTCCTGTTTTTTAAATTGGTCTACATTAAGGTCCAAAGGGTCCAAAATTAAACTTAGTTTGATTTTAACAAAAATTGAATTCTTGGGGTTCTTTGATATGCTTAATCTAAACATGTGTTTAGATTTTTGATTATGGGCCCAGTTTTCATGTTGGTCCAAGATAGGGTCCAGTATTTAAACTTTGTTTGATTTCAACAAAAATTGAATATATGGGGTTCTTTGATATGCTGAATCTAAACATGTATTTAGATTTTTGATTATGGGCCCAGTTTTCAAGTTGGTCCAAATTGGGGTCCAAAATTAAACTTTGTTTGATTTCAACAAAAATTGAATATATGAGGTTCTTTGATATGCTGAATCTAACCATGTATTTAGATTTTTTATTTGTAGGCCCCGCTATCAAATTGGTTCATATTGAGGTCAAAAGGGTCCAAAATTAAACTTTGTTTGATTTCATCGAAAATTGAATTATTGGGGTTCTTTGATATGCTGAATCTAACCGTGTTTTTAGATTTTTAATTTGGTTCCCGTTTTTTAAATTGGTCTTCATTGAGGTCAAAAGGGTCCAAAATTAAACTTAGTTTGATTTTAACAAAAATTGAATTCTTAGGGTTCTTTGATATGCTGAATCTAAACATGTGTTTAGATTTTTGATTATGGGCCCAGTTTTCAAGTTGGTCCAAGTTGGGGTCCAAAATTAAACTTTTTTTTATTTCAACAAAAATTGAATATATGGTGTTCTTTGATATGCTGAATCTAACCATGAATTTAGATTTTTTATTTGTGGGCCCCGCTATCAAATTGGTTCATATTGAGGTCAAAAGGGTCCAAAATTAAACTTTGTTTGATTTCATCAAAAATTGAATTATTGGGGTTCTTTGATATTCCAAATCTAACCGTGTATTTAGATTTTTAAGTCCCGTTTTTTAAATTGGTCAACATTAAGGTCCAAAGGGTCTAAAATTAAACTTAGTTTGATTTTAGCAAAAATTGAATTCTTGGGGTTCTTTGATATGCTGAATCTAAACATGTGTTTAGATTTTTTATTATGGACCCAGTTTTCAAGTTTGTCCAAGTTGGGGTCCAAAATTAAACTTTGTTTGATTTTAACAAAAATTGAATATATGGGGTTCTTTGATATGCTGAATCTAACCATGTATTTTGATTTTGGACATTGGACCATAATAGGTAAATTAAAAAAATTCAAGTTCTTAGACCACATTCTTTCTGTGTCAGAAACCTATGCTGTGTCAAATATTTAATAACAATCCAAATTCAGAGCTGTATCAAGCTTGAATGTTGTGTCCATACTTGCCCCAACTGTTCAGGGTTCGACCTCTGCGGTCGTATAAAGCTGCGCCCCAGCGAAGCATTTTATTTTTGTTTTATTTACAATTAAAGTAGTGTGTACTGTTGGAGAAGCATACTTTACATGAACTTTCAATCTTTGAATCTTTCAATCTAAGTTTGGGATTTTGAAATATTTTGGTATCGAGCATCAATAAGAAGGCATTAATGGTCGAAATGCGCATCTGGTGCAGTTGAATTGGTACCGTTAATGTTATTAGTCTCATTCATGTCAACATTACATTTGTGTTAACATTGGAATTATAGACCCTTTATTTACGTATATTTATTTACAACCCGACAACATTCTGTTCTTAAAAATGTTCATATTCAAAGAAAAATTTATTAATTTAATATGTAACCCATAAAAAGTAGTCCATATTCAGTTAATCATAAAACATAAGATCAGTGCAACCCTACTGTTCCCGTAATTGTGATTGATCCAAGTAGCTATACTTATTTAATTGGTCTGCAGTATAATCGGATATTAATTGGTGAATGCGAATGATTGTACTCCAGGTGGTTTCGAAACGATTGTACTCCAAGTGGTTTCGAAACTAGCGTTTTTCCCCACTGAAACGATATTATATGTGTACATGGCTTATAAAGATGTTTTCTCCCAAAAAAATTGTCATTGTCATTTGTAAAGTTTCGGATATAATCTAGCTTTTATAATGAGTCATTATGCGTCATTTCTAACACTGTTATGACCTACATGTAAGGTTACAACATTACTCGATAAGGCAATATGAACTTTGTCCAGATGAGCTGTTCATGTTACAAAACCCTTTTTGCTTGTGATGCGTCAAACATGTCATGTTTTTGATTCTCAAACGTATGCTTTTGAATATCCACAACGATGATTAGCCGATAGGTCCCTGTCGTGTACATTGAAATTGGCGAACGTGAAATCTTATAGTTTATGTTATAAATCATTTCAATACCTAAAAGCTGACTACTGAGGTGATGATACCCTCGGGGACTAATAGGTAACCAGCTCTGGTATCAACCTAGTGCTAGTAAATGACAATTTATAATTTTCGTGCGTCCGGAGCGCTTTTGTGGATTTAACTTCATAATGAAAGCTCCAACCTAAACATTTGAAAGCCAGAGATGCATACATACATTGTAACGTTAGTAGCTATAAGTCCACGCTTGCTCAAGCGATAATGGATGCCAATAAAACGTTAAACGTATATAAATCAGGCTAACAACCAGTCATATCAACAAAGATGATGTACTGTAACAGCTACTTCGCCATGTTAAAAAAATTATCACCTAGATCATCTAACTTATAAAGTAATATTAAAAAGTTAATAGTTTCCATGTCATTTCACTTAAAGATATCTGTCTGACATAACAGCAAACTGTCTGTTTAGTTCAAAAGTTTGTTGATGTCAAAGAAGTTTCAGTTTGAGGGACTGTACTTGATTTTGAACCTGACCCGATAGTTTATTACAAATTAAACTACGATACAGAATAAAAACACGTTTGTTGCATATGTATGCTACGAAAATATAGATTCTCTGCAAAGCATTTAACAGAGACACAATTACAGAAAAGGGTGACAATGGAAGAAACGAATCTATTATTTGTAGTACCCAAGAACTACCTGTTATTGTAAATAATTTGAAGTAAACAGTTATGTTTACTGAGTTATGCCGAAAAGAATCATCATTTTTCAACTTTGGAGTTTTTGCAATCGAATGTACTGAAAATATAAAGAAAAAAACGTTTAGCAAACACATGATCATAATCGAAACTATAAATGCTATAATAAAAGATAACCTTTCTGAGATGAAACACACTTTCCCGCCATACCCATACAATTCTTTAATTTTAAGTGAATTTATAAAAAGAATATTCACAATAATGATGATGGCCGGTAGACCAAATGAGTATAATATGTATAGATAAGACGTTTTCGTTCTTTTGATTTACATCTTAGTCGATAAACAAAAGTCCTGCTAAATGTGCAATACATGTGAAAGGAACAAACATTCAAACAACAAAATGTGCATAACCAGAAATAATGAATAAATCCACCCAGTACAATACAAAGAGTTATATTATTTGTTTTGTTCATACCCAAATTCTAGAAAACCCATCGCAAAAAAAAAGGCAATGACAAGACACATATTGTTCGTTCCTGGTAATATACGTAGCTGCTCAAATAGACAATAAGTAATAAAAGTCAGGAATAAGCATAGTAACGATAATATTGTAAATATCAGAATTAGTAAACGTAACACACACATTTCTGAAAAAGCCATCATCATACTTTTAAACGTATTTAAACAAATCCTTGGGTTCAGATCTGATCTGGTTAAGTAGAAATTGTAATAATCCAAAATGGTACTGTATTGTGGTATGTTCAGTAAGTTTTTGTGTTCATCGAACGTTACCTCTGTAATAATCTCCAATAAGGAGTTGTCGGACGATTTCCTGCATCCGTCTTATTTGTAGATTTTGTCTTGCTTATCATTTTTGTTTATTTAAGTTCTATCTATCTATCATAATTTTTAAGAGATAAGGCAAAAACGCAAAAAAATGGTAAAAATTGTCATCAAAGGGCAATAACTCCAATAACGAGTCGACTGACGATTCGGATCATGCAGACTTATTTGTAGAACTTGTCTTGCTGGTCATTTCTGCAAGTTACAGTTTCTCTTTATCTATTATAGTTTTCACAACTGTGGGCAAAAATAAAAAAAAATTCCTATAAGAAGTCGTCTGACAGTTTTGACGGATATGGCCAATTGGTAGAGCTCAACATTCTGAACATTTTTGTTACGTCGGATTTTCTCTATTTATAACGGTTTTCAAAATAAAAGACAAAAATTGTATTTTACTCCTATGTTCTATTTTTAGCCATGTCGGCTATCTTGGTTGGCAGGCGGGGTCAACGAACACATTTTTGTAAACTAGATACCCTAATGATGACTGTGGCCAAGTTTGGCTAAATTTCTTATAGGGGTAGTGAAAGTCAATTTGAGGAAGCTGTCTGTACTTTATTTGCAAAAGCTCGTCGGAAATTCTCTGTTTGACAGTTTGAATGACTTATAATTAGGTATTTAATGGGAATTATGCACGTTATACTATGCACGTCCTTTGATTATGTTAAATGGCAAGTGTTGCATACAAATTCAAAACGAGAGATAGCATGTAACAATCTGTACAAGAAACCTCAAAATTATATACTTCAACCTCATCAACACAATACAATAATTTAGACAATATATTTTCTTTGTTAGGAATGTACATGAGTAAATATCGCAATATCGTTTGCATGTATTTTAGGCCTTGGTATATATGAATAAAAAGAGATGTCGGCAAAGTGTCAATGAGCCAGCAACTCAACGACGAAACTAACCAAAGGTAATCATCTATGAAGCAAAATACAGTAATCAACAATAGACAATATTTCAAGCTCTTAAAGAAACTGTAAAAAAGAAAAATGATCTGCAAGCATGATCTGCAAACAGACCAGCAAACAAGTAGATAAATTTGTCAGTTGTCAGTTTTTATAGGTTACTGCCTTTAAATGATGATTTTTTTACTTTTTTATGTGTTTTGGACAAAAACTTTAGAAGATAGAGAGAAATTGTGAACAAAACAAATGTTTAGCTATATAAGCTAAGCTAGGCAACAAAAAGGAGATTTTAGTCATGAATACTATTCTAGTCTACAAAGTTGGAGAGTGGAAATCCACATAATAAAATTGAGAATGGAAATGTGGAATGTGTCAAAGAGACAACAACCCGACCATAGAGCAGACAACAGACGAAGGCCACCAATGGGTCTTCAATGCAGCGAGAAACTCCTGCACCCGGAGGCGTCCTTCAGCTGGCCCCTAAACAAATATGTATACTAGTTCAGTGATAATGGACGTCATACTAAACTCCAAATTATACACAAGAAACTAAAAAAAAAATGATACAAGACTAACAAAGGCCAGAGGCTCCTGACTTGGGACAGGCGCAAAAATGCGGCGGGGTTAACCCTAGGTGAGTCTCCAATTTATAAGCAGAGTAGGTTGTATTCTTATATATTCAGTCAATATGAGGCAAGTTAATCCCATTGCGGAAAAATTCCCTTCTAACATCAATGTGTTCCACAAAAATATACATGTCTTTACATATGTGCAGCAAACTATAAATGTTTTTTTGTGTTCTATTATACTCTTAGATGCTAAATTCTAAAAATAATAGTTCAGAGAAACTTAAATTCAGTAATTTTTCTACCTTTTAATAGAATTGTTTATTAAACATGAGCAGTTACCTGTTATACTTCACGCATCCGTTCAGAATATATTCGTTGTTAAACAATAAACACTAAATTCAAGCTTCCCGGATTAATCTTCTTTCAAATGTCACTTTCATCAACATTTTGTAAATTTCTGATAATTTTTGTTCTGAAATGATTGGTGGTAATAATGTGTATACTGCAAAAGATTAATATAATCTAATAAAAATGACATTCCAATCGATTATTGATTGTGACATTATAACATTTTTATACTCATTGCATTTGAAAAAGTAGATGTAAAACACCATGTTGTTACATTTAGATATTTTAATATATAAAGACTGGATGTATGGTAGTTATCCCTGCCTTTGATTTAATGTTATCGCTGCCTTAGAATATGTTTAACTAACTTTGTTATGTAACTATATAAAGAGCAATGAACAGAAAAAAAATCAAATATAAAACCTCTGCCTATGTATTGCTTCCTTAGTTTGACTGTATACTGGGGCTTAAATGGTTGTATGTGTTGGCGCATACATGTTTGTCTCCACTGTGACTTTAGTCGCAGAATGCAAGACATAAAGATTACTATCCGGCTGCATCGGCTTCGACGTAAACTACTTTTATAAAGCTTTAGCTTTCATAAGGTAGAACACCAGGATGTTTCATGCCTTGTATGCACATGCCTTATGTTACAAAGTTTTTGTCATGTAAAATATTATCAGTAATAGGATAACTATATTTTGTATATGGGATCCTTGTAAGGCCTACATATCCGTCAGATAGGGTTCACCTGACCTAGACCTCATTTCATGGATCACTGATCAAGGTTGACATCATTTTCATGGCTCATTGGTCAATGTAATTTTGTCTTTGTTTTGTCTATTTTGTATAAACTGTAAGCAATATATCAACTGTATTTGGTGTATGAAATGATTGTAAGGTGTGCATGTCCGTTTTGCAAGTTTCATTTGACCGTGACCTTTTTCATGAATCATTGGACAATGTTAAAAGAGGGACGAAAGATATTAGAGGGACAGTCAAACTCATAAATCGAAAACAAACTGACAACGCCATGGCCAAAAATAAAAAGACAAACAGACAAATAATAGTACAGATGACACAACATAGAAAACTAAAGACTAAGCAACACCGAACTCCACCAAAAACTGGGGGTGATCTCAGGTGCTCCGGAAGGGTAAGCAGATCCTGCTCCACATGTGGCACCCGTCGTGTTGCTTATGTTATTACAAATCCGGTAAATAGTCTAATTCGGTAACTTTTTAGGTTTGGTCTATTTCTCAGATACCATAAGCAAAGGTTACTGTATTTGGTATTTGGAACTATTGTAAGTTGTACATGTTGTCTGGCAGTATTCGTCTGACCTTGACCTCACTTTTATAGTTCATTGATCAATGTTTAATATTTGTATCAGGTCTGTTTTGCAAATGCTATAATCAATATGCTAACTATATTTGGTTTATGGTTTGACTGTAAGGTTTACATGTCTATCTTGCATTGACCTCATTTATATTTATCCTTGATAATGTAAAGGTTTTTTTTGCAGTTTTTTTAAGACAATTTTACTGTTTTTTTTTTAGAATGAGATGGGATATTTGTATAGACGATTATGTGAATAACGTCGACATGTGATCAAACAGCATTTCTAATTTTAATCTGTAGACTGTTTAATGTAAGGCCCTCGACAGTTCTCTAGGGTATATATTTACTTAAAAATCAAAATAACTTTATATCTTATATTTAACTCATATATGAACTTTTATGATCTTTAAGTTCGTACGCTAATCTACATTATTATATACTTAGTAGTGAATACAGGTAAATTGTATGTGTAACACAATCAATGGTAATCGTGCTGTATCAAACATCCGTGATGATATCGATATCAGTCACGGTTACAAAAGCTTTATCATACCCCTTACCTGTATGACGTCACGTCATCGATATCAGTCACGGTTGTAAAGGTTTTATCAAATCCCTTATCTGTATTACTAAAAAGTGATGAAACATCAGAACTAATATATAATTAATTTGAATGTCGTTTGCCCTTATACTTTATGTATACATAGCCAAAAGTTGCTTCTGTCTTCCACAAGGTCAGAGTAGTTTATAGTACATGCAGAGTTGACCGTAATTATGACGTCTGACAAAATGGGGCATAATATTTTTGTCAAGTGAAATAGAAACAACTATGAATGAAAGGTGATCTTTGGATGCCTTTCATTGTAACAGCAACCCAACAACCCAAATCACATATAAAACATACTCGAGTTAAACGTGCATTCTCGAACAATAGGTATGTGTTCATACAAAACGTCCAACTTTGAAAGGTAGTTAACAGTTCAATCAAGTTGAAGAAATCGTTGAACGTTTCATTGAAATCCATTTTTGCTTAAATATGTGATGACTTATAGCTATTAATGTTACATGATATCAACGCATACCTGGTTTTCAAATGTTAAGGTTTGAGCGTTCCGAATTAAGGTAAATCCAGAGAGGCCTTTCGGACGCCCAAAAATTATAAATTATTCATTTCATTTGGTAGCACTGGTCGATACTATAGATGGCGAACTGTTAGTTCCTGATGGTATCATTATTCACATCAGTAGTCAATGCTTCGGTACTAACATGATTTATAACATATACTATAAAATACCTAGTTCACCAATTTCAATGTACATGATATTATGTACTCTGGACTTACCATCAGCAAGCTTTATCACAAGGAAAATTTTGAGAATTAAAACATATACATAAAATGTTTTGGAGCATTTAAAGCTTAAAAGGCTTTATAATTTGAACAGCTCATCTAGTATAAGTTCAAAATGCCTTATCGAGTGATGATGTAGCCGTACATTTAGGTGGTAACATGGATGGCAATGACGCATTATGACTCATTATTTAAAAGCCACGGCTAGACACGAACAGATAATACCCAAAACTTTACAAATGACAAATGTCAAGTTTAATTTGGAGGAAACATCATCATAGACATGTACACGTATCATATCGTTTCAGTAAGGAAAACACTTCTTTGAAAACCACCAGGAGTTTAATCACTCGCATTCACCGATAATGCAGACCAATTAAATAAGCATAGTTATTTGGATCAAACACAATGATGGAATTAGTAAGATTGCACTGATCTTAAGTGTAATAATTAACTGTATATGGATTACTTTTCATAGGTAAAAAATCAAATTTACAAATTTTAGTTTCAATGCTAACATTTTTTAACAACCGAATTCTGCTGGATTGTAATTATACATATGTAATTAATGGTAATATCAATCACTAGTGTTAAACTGATCGTCGTAACTGCAGTTACCACGATCCCAATATGGCGGAGGTAAAAATAGGTAAAATCGTTTTCTCCTACTAATTTCTCCGTGTAAACGTGTTGTTTTCAAGAATTACTCCGCCGCGAGGTTGATCTGTACGGTATTGTTGTGTGTGTCTTCTTAATATCATATACGGCCTCGTTACAAAAATAATAGCCATCGAAAATTTAAGGAAGATAATCGTAACTTCAAAAGAAGATAATCGTAATTCCAAAAGAAGATAATCGTAACTTGTGGACAAATAACTGGAAATATAATCGTAACTGTAAAATATTTCAATGATAATAGTAACTGATTTCTATCAGTAACCTTTGCTAACGGAATATTTGATAAAAAGATTGCGTCATAATAACAACGAACGCGATAGTGCTGTATCATTTTTTGTTCACCGCCATACCTCAATGGACGTCTAAAATATGGTATGAAATTATTATGCACACAACTTTTGCAATCTTTTCAACACAGATTTGATCACTTTATAAGCATGAATTAAAATTGTTTATAAATATATGTATAGAAATAAATTAGAAACGAATATAATTAGTTATTTAACTTTTAGAAATAAAACTAAAAAGATGTGGTATGATTATCAACGAGACAACCATCCACCAGAGCCTAAATGCGTAGATGTAAGCAACTACAGGTCATTGTATGGTCTTCAACAATGTGCAAAACTCATAGAGAAAGCTACCGACTTCCACTAAATTACAGGTTCCTGACTTGGGACATGCGCATTCAGATTGTAGCAGGGTTAAACATGTTTTTGAG